CGGGGCTTCGGCGGTCGTGACTCATGCTCTGAATGGCGGCGGCTTCTTTGGAGATCTGCTTAACTAAGACATGTAATCTTTTGCTTAGAGTCCCTTCGACAGGTGTTTCTTCTTGAGCCCAACATGCAGACTCCAATGAATCGAGCCATCCTGAGCTTAGGAGCCCCTCAGGTGGTTGATGACTTCCTGCAGGTTGGACTCCATCGTGCTCTGGAGAGAAGCCACATCTGCATAGACCGCTTCCGGAACTGCTTGCTCCGTGTCTCCCAGATTGGTCCACGGATCTTCTTCCTCCTGGAGGTCGATGATGTCTTGGGGTTGGTCGCGGGCCTTGACTTGGCCATCATCTTGCTCTTGGCTTGGACCTTGGCTCGTGGATGGATGGGAACTTGAGTTCCGGACGATCCTTGAGCTACGTCGGGAAGGCTCAGTTCCAGTTCGGCTCTCTCGATTTTCATCTCCAGGAAGTGGATGAACCGACGGCGCTCGATCTTTGTTGACTTCTCGTACGTGGACAGGAACCACTGGCAGTATTTGCTCTCTTGCTCCCACATGTCGTGATAAGTCCGGCCTCGATGAGTCTTGCCGAACGTGATCACTTGGGAGCTGAGCTCTTCCATGGACGTCTGAAGATGGTCGGCCTGAGCGGCAAGCTGCGAAGTCATTTGTTCCGGGCACGCAGGACTGAAGACCCTGGCTGATTTGCTGCTCTTTGGGCACGGGAGATGGCTGAGTGATCTGCGCTTTTGGACTGTTTCGTTTGGTTTCGTTCCAACTTCTGAATCAGTTGACTCACACAAAAGCACGAGGGGTCCCAGAGGCCTGACTTGGTTCCTTTGGAATTGAGGAGGCCTGTTGGTGACGGAACCCTTCCTTTTGGCTATTCGTGATGACAAAGGTTTCGGACGGTTGGTCTGTCTTGTGTGCAGGAGAGGCCATATCATTAAGATCCACTAAGTACAAACCTCTTTCATTGATGGTCAAGGGAATGGTCTTCTTCAGCATGGGGCTAGTGACAGTGTGGTTGGTTGTATCAACCACGGCCTCAATTGCACGCAGCAGCGTGTTCGACAACAGGAACGGCGTCTGTCCTGGTATACTATTGCTATTTTCAGCAACAATGGTCCAATCGGGACGACAATGGCGTGTTGGCTTTCCAAGGCGCCATGATTGCCAAACCTGAAAGTGACCTTGCATGGACATCGCTGTACCTGTTCACGAACAGCTGGCTTCAGGCTCAAAGCAGCTCTTTGACAAAATGGCTGCCGATCACTGTTTTGGTAGCGCCCGTGTCTAGGATGCCTTTGGCTTCATATGTCGAAAATGTCGAGGCGCAGGCGGTGGCTTCAGGCTCACTGGTGCTTGCGAATGCACCCAAGCGCTCAAAATGCAAGCTAGTCCTCACATCAACACAACTCTCCAAAGTATTTATTCGGGTGATCTAAACCAATAACTTCTCCTTTATTGGATTCACCCCCTTTCCCTTGGACCCCAAAAAACTCATGAAACCAACAAAAAACACTCTCTTAGCTCGAAGGCACATCGAGTGTCCCCACAGAAGCTTCCGGCAGGTTGAGAAATTCCAGCGGCAGGGCATCCACTTGTTCTTCTGCGATCACTAAGGTCGGCGCGGCTGCTGAGGAGGGAGCAGCAGTGGTGGTCGATCGGGCACGGTCTGGACATTCTGCTTTCCAGTTTCCCCTTTTTCCACAGAGCCTGCAGCTACTCTCCATGATTCGCTGTTGTAGCGACCTGCGGTTTCCTGCGCCCTTGTAACCGCCGCCATAGGATTTGGACTTTCCTTTTTCCCAGCCTTTGCTTGTTCCTTTTGGTCTTGAGCTGTTTGGCCAAAAACCACGGTTCTTGAATCGCTCGGAAAGTCGATGTCGAGCCTCAAGGTATGTGGAATGGGCCAGCGCCAGGTCTGGATCCTCCTGGAGGGCCTCCACAGCTGAGGATTCATACTCTGCAACAAGGGCTGCGTCTTCATCACCATCATGAAGCATTTGCTCAACATAATCCTCCTCCGTGAACTCCTCGATGGTGTAGGCTGTATCGTCGGCAGCTGAGGCTGGTGCATCATCTAGGACCTTCAGTGCTGTAGCATCATAGGTTTTCCCCTTTGTGCGCTTCTGGCCCAGGAGGTCATGAAAGAACCCTGCGCCAAGCATCTGGATGGCTTGCGACACGCGGGACATGGTGAGTGTCCCACCATCATGCACATCAGCTTCAACCAACACCCTCTTCTTGTCCACGCTGCTCAATGAAGAGCCACGCAACACAATGTACGCTTGCAATTACAATTGTGACAAATCCATGCGCTTGGACAGCAACTCCGACCAGAACACATCGGCGCGTGCCAGGTAGGAGTCATTGCTCTCATCTCCACGTTGGACACACCTGAAAAGGGCGCATTCAGCGCTCTCATACTTTTGCTCCAGAGTGACTTTCCCCCAATTAATGCCCTCCAAGGAGAGCAATCAGCTTCTTCACCTGGGACTTCTCATTGGACCCCAAGAGTTCAGCTTTGTGAAGGCTCAGTTTCTGAAAAGCAGTTCCGGTGGTGGCCAAAATCAGCCTGGTGATGAGCTCCTGGATTTTGCCGGGTGGCCAAACTTCAACAAACAACTCAACTTTGTTTGTATATTGTTCCAAATCATCCTTGGCAGGGTCAAAACTCGGGACCAGCGATGCCAGTTGTGTGGGTACCAGACCAGTACTCTCTGTCACTGAACTTGGTGCAGTCTCTGTCGCCATGGATCCCAAAGGTCGCTGGAGCCGCCCAACAAGCTGGGCGGCTCCGCTACCAATGTGAAATGGGTTTCACACTGGCAGCCAACACCACAAACAATCTCTTCACTCCAACTCTTCCCAATTCCACGGGCGCACCGCGCCCAAGATTCTTTTCCAGCCTCGCCGCCTCGAGATCTTTGGTTTCGAACGAACTGCTGTGACCACACAGCTGACACGACCACGTGTCGATGCTCAAGCGCTCATGGCCTCAAACCCACCCTGCCCTGCGTCCTCGCGCCAAATGGCTGGCAGGATATGAGAGACATGGCGAATGTCCTCACCCTTGCACCATTGGTTGCTCAAAAGGTTGCAATATCACAGTATATCACAGTATTAGATATTATATTTATTGGGATATTAGCCGAAATTTTTATATATAAGCTAAAGGTTTTTAAAATCAATATATATAAATACACGATGGGCTGCATTGTGTACATCGCTCGAATAGGCACTCTGCAATGCTTTAAGGGAAGAAAATTGTTGGTGTGGGCAAGCAACCAGCTACATAGCAGACTAAATACTACCCATAATGCCATCAAAGTGCAGCGCAAAGCCTTCCTCCAGCCCAGATGACAGCTGCACGCCCCTTGCTCAGTTCACGTCTTTGCATGAAGGTGGGAATTTTGCGAGCAATGCACTGCTGGACAAGTGCATGGAATCTCAGGTAAAGGACGCCGTAGTTTTCTCGTTTTGGACTTGTGGATTCAGACAATTCAGAAACGTCAAAAAGGTGAGGTCAAGCTGGAAGCGGATGATCAGGCTTCACTCCTTCAATGCTTGTTGCAGCAAAACTGCCAAATCTGCACCAAAGGAACGCGTGTGAGGGCTCGCAGTCCGCATAGCGGACCAACCATCTATCCACAAGCAGCACAAGCAGCACAAACAGCAACAGCAAACAAACTTCCGTGCCCAAACTGCCCCCGTAAATCCCCCTACAGTGTATACATGCTTGCCTTTGAGCTTGATATGTAGCAAGTCTCGATTTGTGGCCGCCCCTTCTACACTGGAACAGGGCCCAAGGAGCTTTCCTTGTTTGTGGGAAACAATATATACTGTAACACACACACACATATATATATATGTATATACATACATATCCATACAAACAAAAAACAAACTTCCCCTCAGATACACAGAACAATGTTTAAAATCAATTCTGCTCAGAGCAAACAAAGTTCATTTTCCCTAAGAATCTAGGCATCATTAGTGCGAACGCTTCTTCAAGGAAGCTGGGGGGAGCTTCCTTGAAGATGCGTGAGCTGTCCGGCGTCCATTTACTACTAGAAGCATCTAGAAGCTAACTAGTCGCCCTGGCCTTCCTTACTTAATTAAGTAGGCGCCTACTAAATTAAGGGCGGGCTAAAATACCCATACAAACAAAAGACAAACAATTTACTTAAATCAGGAGGCAGGGGGTGCGGCCCCCACAGGCCCCCAAAAACTCATTCACAAGGCCATGAGAATCTCTCAAGGCATCAAATTATTGCGGGCAATGGAAGTACAGCGAAATAAGTCTCTCCATAAAGGAAGACTCCACTCAGGCGAATTCAAAACACAAGGCAAACCATGGCAAATCCGCAAAAACAAAAGTTGAAAGTATAATTCCTGCTTTAAGACACAGTGCATCCCTTCAGTCTGCATGCGTGCCGGTGATTAAGCTTGGCTCTTTGCATAATTCTCAGGGACAGAGTTGCATTTGTCGTTTGTTCAACCAATGGCAGGCCAAGCTTGCTATTTGCCTTTTATTGGAGTGCCTTTTTTGTGGTCATCAGACACACAATGAATGAACATGAACATTGAAACCTGAGACACGCGAGAAAGAAAAGGGATTGCTGCGTGTGGGAAGTGCAACTACATCCTGAAGCCCTGAGCACACAAGCAAGGCACAATGTACAAAACGACCCAACCCTCCTCAGCGCAAAACTGAATAGCCTTCTACACACCCTCCAAAAAGACAAGCCCCAAAACAATGAATTGAATCCCTACTTTGCAAGTTCAGGGTGTAGGTGTATTAGCGAACCGTGCGAAAGATTATATGTTCAATTGCTCTTTGCATTCTGTAGCCGCAGCAGATGGGGCTATGAGACAATCGCTAGTTTTAAAATACCAGCAGTATTTAAACTTTTGAAACGCCGCGTTTCATTTCGTTGTGCGTGGAAAAGCATTCTACGCCACGTTTTATGCTGCACAACTTGGAGAGACTGTAGGTCTTGGCCTTGGGAAGTCTTCGCAAAGCTTGGCGCTTTGGGTCTGCAGACTTTCCAATCCTTGTCCGAGGAGAGCTGATACTGGCTCCTTGGACTCCTTGACACTCAACTATTTCTTTTGTTTTCAACTATTTGCCTTTCACGTAACTTCAATGTTCAAGACTCAGGCGGCCTTCCTGACTGTGATATCACTGTCAAGCCATATCTTCAGTGACCTGGCAGACAAATTTGAATTTGTCTCAAAACATTTGCACAATCGGGCGGAGTAGTAGATGATAGAGAATTTGACTGAATCAAAGTCAAACCAAGGCTTCTTTGTGGACTTCCGTGGCTTGACTCCGATAGGCTGTATAAAGACATGTATTGAAACATGATGGCTTTCCTGCTTCGGTCCAAAATCGGTATGCGCAGACTGGATTGAAATTGACTGCCCAATTTGTCCTTGGAGTCAGCTTCTGAACATTCTTGTATTTGCCTTATAGTTCTACGTTTGTAGTTTTTGTGGTGGGTGGGCAATTTGCTCCAATCCCACCACGCTTTCACCACTTTCACTCATCAGCCATGCATGTCTTGGAATGTGTTGTTCCCAACGCGCTTTTCGGGAGCACAGGACTCAACCGAACCAGAAGGAACATGAAAGAACGTGTTCGAGAGAGTCTGCACCACACGATCACGGCTCATGTCTCTTATACCCCGAAGTCGTCAACTCGACAAAGTGTTGCTGTCACTGCTGAACCCAAAGGTAGACCTCTTGTGTGATGCCATCAAACAATTGAACAAACTTGGACAGTACCGGGGAACCCAAAACCAACTAATCCAAGGCCGGTTATAGTTGTATACAACCGAAATCAACGCTGTGGCGGTTACAAAGGCGATGGTTGCGTCCTGTCCTGTCCTAGACATGATCTCTTTACATAGCAAATAAAGGTCTCAGTTCTCCAAAACCACTGAGGGTGCCAGAAAACCATAGCAAACCTTTCACCCACAGCAACAGAACAAAGAACAAGGCACTACACAGATGTCTAGGCTGGACAGCCGTGAAGAAACCTACTCGCATGTTTGTGTGAGAACTTGGTTGTGTTCATTGCCTGTGTACACCTGGAAAATGTCAATTAACACAGCGAGATGTTTCATGAGTTTCATGAGTCTCCTGCTCGCAGATGGAAATTCACAGATCTACACCGCGCGTAAAGGCCAAAAGGCGAGTCTTCGACGTTCCCACTCAAGGCCCTCACTACGACTAGGGACTTTGGGTCTTGGATTTTCGAACCCACGGCTTGAGGGTTTGATCGTAACTTTAACGATAAACACATATTATGTAAAACTTTTAGCTTTTAACATCAAAACTCAAAACGCTTCTTTCAAAGAACTTTTTCCCGATTTCTTTACGCATTATTATTTGCATTCTTTGTCTTTCTTACTGCAAGGAGATAGTACTATTTGTTAAGTTTCCCTAACAATCTAGAAACCAATGAATAGTGCGAGCGCTTGAAGAAGCGTGAGCTATCCTGCGTCCATACTACTGGTAGCAGCTACTTAAGCTACCTAGCTACTACCTCCTTCCTCTACGGCCTACCCCCCCTCCCCCCAAAAAAGAAAATCATTAATATAATATATAATATATATAATACATATATATATACATATATGAGATAATATATATATATATATGCTGTTTCCTCAGGTGAAATGGCTGCAGGCCTTGGCGCCCTTCGCAGCCTCCGTTTGGCTATGACGTCTGGGAGCTCCCGCTTCTGCCAGTGTCTGGCAGATATTCTGCCTGCCAATCGGCTCAAACACACTTAAATCTGACTTTAAAATATATATTTGTAACACACATGGATCATGTACGTTCTTAAAATTTATCTTCTCCGCTTTCGTGCATTCCCGAAGGCCATGACGCAGATGCTGGGCTTGATCTGTGTGGTTCAGTATACCTTTGCAGCCACGGCGCTGGAGATATTGGGCCGTCAAAATGCCCCAGGCTTTGTCTCTTGGCATTTGACTTCGTCAGGTTTCGCGCTTTAGAACACTTTGGGCAATGCATCTAATTAGCCTTTGCCAATTTTAAAGGTACAATACAAGGCCAATGTTTCAGGTACCGTCCGTCCCCTGTGATTGATTGTTCCAGCCATGCACAAGGTCACTTTTCCAGATGCTGCTATGTCACTTCTTCAAATTCTTCTAAATGCTGATGGCATAACTATGGCAAGAGAAAACCTGGAGAAGGCTTGAAATGCTTCGAAAGACGTGTTTCTAGTGTTTCCATGTCGCAGAGAAAGGCCCATCCAGCGACCGCGATCCTTTTTGTCGCATACTATGCGGTTGCAGTCCTGGTGGTGGTGAATCTGGTCACAGCGCAGGGAGCCAAGTTGAAATTTGGCCTGCTTTGCCCGCTTTGCTGCAGACCAGCCTTTGATATGATTGAAATCCTGGCTGATCCTGGCTATTTGAGGCTCATGATTGAATTTTACCGTGCAAGTCTGGCAGAAAACGTGGAGCGCTGTGAAGCAAGGCGTTCTGAGATCACTAGACAAGTTCAGGAGATGGGAGGCAAACTGAATGCAAAACATCCAAACGCAAAAATCGGCGAGACTGAATCGATTGTCCTTTTGCCACCTAGTGCAATCGAAGCAGGATTTGCTCAGAGAAATGGAGGTTGTTGAGAACTTGGGCTTTGAGGTCACAAGCGGGTCCAAAGAGAGCCTCGGATAGCAGAATGAGCTTGAGAAGTCGGTACGACATTGTGCAACCAATTACATAAAATGTGCTACAACCATCCCTTTTTGGTGGCTGAGGACCGGAATCGAGAAACTTCGAGAAAGTTTCTTGGGTCGTGGTCAAGATGTAGTGGATGAGGAGCTGCTTCGTCAGGTCGGCTCGAAAGTCCAAGGGGGGAGAAATGACTTGCAACCTGAAGAGTGAAGCGCGGTCGACAATGACAACTCCACATATTTAGTTACATGCTAATTACATATTATATAATTGATTCAACAGCAATTCACATAATTCAAGAACATCTCTAATTTCAATTCTAATTCTTGTTCCTAATAGCTTCTTGCTCCTAGTAGTAAGGCCAGGAGCCCCCAGTAGCGTCCTTGTTCCTAGTAGCGATGCCCTTTGCTCCTAGTAGCGTCCTGTTTTCAAGAGTTGCTATTTTAAGAGTTGCTGTTTTCCCTAGGTGCAGAAGGAAGCACCGCTGGATCTTTTGAGGTTGCATCGCTCAAAGAGTGGCAGCTTTGGCTCCGGTAGCTGCCCCACATCACCCGGGAGAGGTCTTTGACATTTTGTATCATTTTGTAATATGTTTTGTAGTTAGTACCCACTATGTAGACTTTTGCACAAAAACGTCAAACAGGCCTTCTACAAGTTGAGAGGGCTGGCAGGGCCATGCCCTTTACAGCCCTGGACACTGACAGCAGCTTGACACAACAGCTGCGAGTTGGTGCACAATGCATGTAACAGCAGAATCTTCAGAACATGAATCTAGTTTTAACACAACTTCACAGCTAGGAAAGAATGAGTACGGCTTGTTCACTTTGCTGCCACATGCATTGAAACGCCTCATGGCAAAGTCCCCATGAAGTTGATCAGCCTATCCACAAGAGAATGCAAGATAGCATGGTCCGTTTCCAGGCCAGTTTCCTCACGCAATTTTCAGGGACAGGCCTAAGGCGCTGTTGCCCCCTGTGCATTTGTTTGGCCTGGCTGCGCACAAGCGCAGACCTGAGTCGAGCGGAAGCGGAAAAAGCAATCGTCCAGAGCTTCATGTAGATCTCGCAGAATCATGCACCAAAGATAACAAAAGTAGCCGAGCGAGGCAGAAGCACCAGACAAAAGCCTGACAGCTAAAAGATGAAAAAGTTTGATGTGTCTCCAACCCTTCGCTCCAGCTACCCCTTCCTTCCTTACATGGCGGCACACAGTGTCTCGATGTGTCTGCAGGCTATGCTTCTACATTGCCGCTATAGTATAGCCCTTTCATAAGCCATTTTTATTTTTATGACAGCATCATGTCAACGTGCCACATGTATGTCACAATGTATGTTTTTTATTTATTTGTTTGTGTGAACTGTTTATAGGGTTTGCATGCAAAAGGGTTCATACTTATATAAATAGCATGAGATGTGAACATTTGGAAAAAGAACGCATATACGGCTAGCAGAAGCTAAGGGCCAGCATTCGCTCGGAAAATAAAGTGAGTTCACGTCAAAGTTACCAGTAGCTTCTAGCTCCCAGTAGTAATGCCCTTGTTACTAGTAGCGATGCCCTTGTTACTAGGGTAAACTGTGTGAGCTGTGGAGATTTGCGGCAATGACTTGAGATCGCGTTCGCTAGTGGTGGCAATTCGCAGTGACTGGTGATGATTGGCAGTTATTTGAGGTGATATGTAGTGTCATGCGGCTATTTATTTGTGGTGAGTTGCTTTGATTTGTGTGGTGGCTGGAATGCACAATACCATTTCAGAGGTATGCATCCTGCAACCTCACTGGTTTAGAGAAGCATAGAATGCTTTGTGGTGGTCAGGTGCAAGGCTGCCCAGTACTATAATTGAGGGCACAAGGTTCTGGACCAACAGACGACCCTTTTGTGGCCACACATTAGCACAGCACATGTTGCCCCAGTGGGTTGCTGTTGCCCTTGGATTTGCCAAGCTGGATCTCAGGAGGCGGTCGCCGCAGCTTGTTATTTCTCATTCGGTTGCGCAGCAGCACCTCCAGGCTTTGAGCTTGAAAGATATAGCCTTGCCATCTCTCTCTATATATATATACACACACATTTATAACATCTTCTCTGCAGTTTTCTTACTCTTGCGGCGCACCTGAGATTGAGATCCTACAATTCACGGGTTGCAATGTTTGCTGCCAAGAGTATCTCTTACAAATCAGGATGCCAGCTTACAATGCATGTTTAACTATGCTTACTTCGCACAATTGCCAGCAAAGATCAACTGGCTGTCATGGCTCTCCGTGGACGTGAATGGTTCCAGGCAGAATGTGACAGTGAGAGGCTGGGCCGATATTGTATATAAGCAATTTTGTCTCAGTGTCTTCCTTCGCTAAGGGTACAACATACAAGGAACAAATCAATCAATCAGTCAGCCAGCGAGCCATTCAAGTCAAGTCATGTCAATGCAAAGCACTTCGACATTAACGGCAGCGAATACCACTTGATCAACCCAATCGACCCAAGACCACCAGAGCTGTTGGATCTAGACTCCTGCAACTGCGCAGATCTCCTTCGGTGGCCAACGTGCCTGACGTCGTTCGGTGGCCAATGCTCACATGGAATACTGTAAGTGGATACTCGATACACGTGATTGCGAAACAAGCACTTTGGGACCTTGAGCAGGTCTTTGAATCTTCCTCAGCATCAAGTGGGACGACCTCAAATCCTCTCGAGGCTTTAAGTGCCGCAACCTGTTTAACACCATGTAAAGCTTCACTTTACACCAGCTTTCCAATACCCAATGGCCAAGTGATTGGCAGTCTTGGCATTAGTCAGGAAGTGCTTTCATAGAAACACCATCAGGGTTTGCATTGGTTGACTTGAGATATTCACCTGACCATACCGCCCATTCCCAACTCCAGCTGCAGGACACTCACTGGTGTCGAGCTTGTCGACCAGCACAGCCTGCAGTGTGTACCAAGACATACCAAGGTGCCTTGCAATCCGGATCTCAGTGAGTTTGAAAATATGTGAGTCGCCATGCTTGTCGAGGCCTTAGCAGCATTTCTCGAGATCCAATCCTTTGATGGTTTTCAGGCACTTGCATTCAACGGAACTCGGTGTCCTTAACAGTTAAATTTTGCTTGTGATTCTCAAACTGACAAAGCCTGGAGCTTTGATTCTCAAACTGACAAAGCCTGGAGCTTTTGAGCTTCTGCATTCTATTCTTGAGCCTTTCATGCCTGTTAGGCGGGGCATTCTTTCCGGCGGTACCCTGATGCAGCGAGCTTTCTGGATACTAGCAAGGATCCACGGAATCCCAAATGCCTGGCTGTACAGTCTTACATAGAGCAGCGCCAAAAGAAATCAAAAGAGGCCTGTGAGATCACTCCCTTGCAGGACCAAACGGCAAAGGCTGCAGGCAGAGTTGTTCCGGACGTCACAGTTGGGACGCGAATTGAAATCTGAATCATGCACTCCCGACAACCGGAAGACTGTTTTCCTCTACAAACCACTTTTCAGGGTCCACTTTAGTCTTGGTATTTCATATAGAACGCTTTCAGAAAGGAGAAGCTCAGGCAGAATGAATGAAGGTCTTGAAACGGTCGACTTATGAAACATCAGCATTCGCGTTCTTTCAAGGCCGCGCAGCTGACGAGGCTCTCGATGCTTAGCTGAATTGCTTTATGAGCTTGCGGACGTTCACCAGAGAAAGCAACATAATGATTAATGACAGTTTGCTTAAAGATTTTAAAGAAAAGAATTGTAAACATTTACGCATAGTTTGCCCAGAGACTTTGAGCGGGGCTCAATTCCCTTTATATAAATCACAACGCAAAAGGGACTTTTGGGCATTTCAAACTTTGGCATCGGTTTTGGCGATTGGATGACAGAGATGTTGTTTGATTCCACAACATTAGGCTCGATTCTTTTTGAACAACAATCAATTTGTCAGCAATTTTTCATGCAAATGACAACGCAGACCCTAGACCCTAAAGCCTAAACCCGAATACTTCCTAGTTGATTGGCGTGCAGCCTGGTGCTGGCTTTACTATTTTGTAAGGCAGTTAGATTTGAAGCAAAGCGGTGAGTTGACGAGTGCCGCACGGCCCCAGGGTCCCGTCTAGCCTGGCATCCCGAACAGCCCTGCGTGGCGCACCGAAGCCAGCAGGAACCAGCATTTTGAGCCGTGTATACTAGTATACTGATAGCATGACACAACGTGTACACAACAGTGACATCGTACGCCATGGAAACACGAACAAGCATCAAGCGGACAAGTCGCAATGGCAAGATCGAGCTGAAAATGGCAGAAGCAGCTGCGTCACTTCCTCCACATCCTGTTGACTCGTGTCATGGAAAGGGATTCACTCCAAGCCAAATTTTGCTTGAAACGAAAGTGGCTGGACCACCATCACCAGGATAGCCAGATGGCAAGCCCAAAACCAACACAACCTGAGAATTATCGCCCAATTGCTGTTTGGTTGACGTAACAACTCCCGCACAGCACAATGTATGTAAGACCTGGAGCGCAGTGCGGTTGGTGACGACACAAATTGTAAAGCCCTTCCTTGGTGTTTTGTCCGCAAGAAGCCATGGCGAAGATGATTTCTCTCCCAGCTGAATTGACTGATTGCCTTTTCAATGCGACGCTTGTTCCACAATTGTTAACAGCACTTGTGTGGAATCCAAGGACTATGCTTACAATGCAGAAGCCGAGACCATGAGAGCAAGCGGTAAGGCTGACCAAGCGGAGGTCCCACCAGTTTGCGCTTTACATTTCACGCGAGAAGATGTTGCTTCATTCCATTGAGTAACTATTGACATTCTGCAGGAACAGACAGAAGCGGCTGAGGCATGGGAAGATTACGAGTTGCACCTTGCCGGAACGCAACAAGTTCACGAACTGCTACAAGCAATGTACTCTTTAAGATGTCCACACATGTCACATGTCCTTAATTTCGGTATACCAAGGTATACTATTTAGACTTACTGTGGACGTTTTGAAAAAAAGAAACGACAGCACTTCAGATGCGCCTCGCCCCTCGCTAAGTGAGGTCCTTGCTTGCGTTCCTTTCGCTGGTGATGGTCGGAACAACTGGTTGGCTGTATTCCCAGTGTCACGGCTCAACAATCACGCCTACGAACACTTTGTGCTCATATAAATATACAACAAGTCGATTTTGCATCAAAACTTGCAGGTACCAACGGTGGGTCAGCTTAAAGAAGGCAGGGTGCAGTGCCCCTTCTCACTATTGGCTTGCGCAACGTGGTTTGAGAAGGCCATGGCGGACCACTACCACGGCCGCACACAGCAGTGACACTTCTGCTTTAATCCCACCCACTAAGAAGGAGAGATTTCAGCTCAATATTGCACGCCAAGAGGAAACTCCAAACACCAAGTTTGGAACTTGACGCTCCTCTCAAAGCTTGCTTGCAAGGGCGTGCACTTAAGTGGACTGTGGGCCAGATTCGCAAAAAGCTCCTTTGCTGGGAAGCCCTGGAATTATTCGTAGTTACTGTACGTAGTTTGTTGGCATTCGTTGATGTTCAAGGATGCAAGCAGCTTCTCTAGGTCGGCATCCGTGGGTTGTAGATGTAGATAGCAGTTCTGTGCCAGCAGCAAATTGCTCTGCAAACAGGGAAGCACTTGCTGTCCCAGCACAATGTCCTGGTATTTCTCGCGTGTTGGCTCCAAGATTGGCATGACTTGATGAAAGCCACTGTCAAGCAATGCCCGTAGTCCATGAAAGCAATCCTTTGAACACTTCCATGACCCATGGCATTTTCTTGCAGAATGTTGAAAGTTCGACGACATTCGGGAAGGTCAACGTAGTTGAAGAACCTAGAGCACGATAAACCTGACATCATTTTAGTAATATTCACACACGAATTCAACATTTGGCTTTGGACGGGCCTCGGCCGCCTCCCTTCCCAAGTTTATGTCACCACCTAGTGTCAGGAGCGTGTGCTGGAATAGCTACGACGTAGCTACGATACTTCAAAACATAATTTTATGCGTTGTGTTTAGAATCATGTCCGAATGACCTTTGAGATGATTCTGATTGACGGCAAGCGTTGGTCTTGCACAGGCCTGGAACAGGAGAGGATATAGTGCTCATCCTGCAGCACTTTGCTGATCCTGCTCGGCTCTCATGGGGTCATCATTCGCCTATTTCACGGCTCTCATCTGCAACAGTTGCTTTGAACATATATCTTTTTGTTGTTTCAGGAGGGGTAGGCCGTGAGAAGAGCTAGACGAAGAAGAGGTAAGCAACTACGTAGTAGCCCGTAGGCTTGCACAGGCCTGGAACAAGAGAGGGCAAAGATCCTGCAATATGCAAAACATTCGTTTACTATGCAAGAGGTCCTGCATATATAGAATTGCTTTACTTGATCCTACCATGACATTTCAATCTGACAAATTTTCTGGTATGTATTGAAACATTATTCCGGCAGTCTTTTTGGCATATCTTCTGACATTCTTTTCTGGCATCTCTTCTGACATTCTTTTTTGGCATCTCTTCTGACACTCATTCTGGCATATCTTCTGACATTCTTTCTGGCGTATCTTCTGACACTCTCTCTGGCATATCTACTGACACTCTTATTGACACTCTTGCTGGCGTTCTATCCTGACTCGTGGTCGAGGTCCGGCGGGGAATGCTGCCGGCCGAAGCTCGCGGTTGAAGTCCGGCGGGGAACACTGGCATCCGGAGCTGGCGGTTGAGGTCTGGAGGAGGAGGACGAGGCGGAGGACGTGGAGGACGACGGCAGCTGACATAAAATCTAAAGGCCCTCACCTGGGAATAAACTCTAATATAAGCAAGCAACAGCATACAACGTCACACAGCTTTATATACCTATAGGCAGGGCTCGAGGACACTTGTTTTGTTGGGCCTCGTCTGCAAGGCGAGCCACCCACATCAGAGGTTTGTAGAGAAGCGCCTGGAACTTGGGTTGCAGCACCACTACGATATCACCAAACTAAGACCTCCAAATGCCATCAGCGAGGCTCAAGAAGTCACCAGCGAGGCAAGGGCATTGAGCTGCAGCAACAAATTGCCATGACCACAAATGACCAGGGACATGCTTTTTTCATTTTTTGATTTCGTTTTGCCCCGGACTACTGTTTCATTAAGTAGGCGGCCGCCTACTTAATTAAGTATATAAAGGCTATTAAGTTAGCTCCTAGGAACTACTGGACGCAGACGCAGAATAACTCACGTTTTTTCAACTTCCTTGAAGAAACGTTTGCACTATTCATTTGGTTCCTAGGTCTTTAGGGAAAGTTAACAAGTGCACGTTGAAACTATATAGATTGGAATTGTACTTGTACTTCAGGTGGCAATGGCGTTGAGTTTTGCACCTAAAACGATGAGACCCTGGGATGTTTGGCCTTATAATGGCCAGCTCACTGACACAGATCAGATCGAAACAATATGGAACAATCACCAAAATCAGCTTGTCATGTTGCTGAGGTCCGCTGACCCATGTGAGCCGTTTGAAACCGAGTGCATTTGCATTCCTTGACAATATTTTTTGGGCACATGGCCTCTTTGTCCGCCCTTTCTGATTTAGATGCGCAAAAGTAGATTAATGTAGACTGTACTGTCGATTTGCACTATTTGGTTTTTGCTTTGTGGGCAACACATTTCCATTGTGCTGTGGTTCGAATCCTGCATTTCGGACAACCAGCAGAGCTGCCGAGCTAGCTCAGGATGTCCCAACTCTTCAATGCACAGTTGCTTCGGCTTCAGAAGTTCCTTCAGGTGTTTATGCAACAAATGCAGTAGAGCAAGTTGTCGTCTCTAATGTTACAGTTAGTTGCCCTAGAAATCTAGGAGCCAAATCATTAGTGCGAGCGCTTCTTCAAGGAAGCTTCCCCAAGGCGACGGAGGGAGCTTCCTTCAAGAAACGTGAGCTATCCTGCGCCCTGTCAGTAGTAGCTTCCTTGTAGGTACTAGCTACCTAGCTTCTACTAGCTACCTAGCTACTGCCTCCTAGCGGCCTAACCCCCCGTTAACTTAAAAAATAAATCGACGTGTCTGAACGTAACTTTGCCAACCTCCAGCCGTCTGGCTGTGCCAGGAGCTCTTGCGTGACACAGTGGTCCTTCTTACTGCAATGGACAGGTTCTCAGATGACCAAACTCTGACCATTCAAGGTAACAAGTACTCTGTTTGATTTGTAAGCAAGACGTTTTCACCGTCACTGTACTCTGACAAACCACGGGTTACAAGGCTCTGAAGTTCTTCTTGAACCTCGTGGGCGCACTTCGGGCCTTTTTCTTTTGCCTGTGCCATGGCAATCCAAGCAACTTTCACTTACATTTTCTTTGGACGACTGAGTCTGAGAGTGATGAGCTCAGGTGCTGCTTTCGTGGTGCTGGAAAGGCACTTTCCAGCAGACTTGCATCTAAACTCTTATGTAGAGGAAGACCGTAGTGTATCAGGAGATCAGTACTTGCTTGTCAAGGGAGAGCTTAGCAGTCTGTAAGTCGCAGCTTTGGAGGTTGGACCTCTGACTCGCCGATACTGGGTGCTGTCCAACTTGCTCTTCCAGTTGAACTCCGTTTGGAGGGAGAGGACTTGGGCAAGTCCCGGTATGATTTTTTACGTCTTTTAGCATTTAAAAAGGTCACATCTTATCACGCCTTCACTCTTCCACAATTGTTTGAGCGGCAGGAAGACCCAAAAGCAACTAGCTGCTGAATTCTTACGAAGGCCACAAGATGCTGCATGCCGTATCCACGTGATCCATTTGTGATTCGCAACGAGCAGTCTTCGACACGACAGGCATCAGATCTCCACGTTACTCAGCATTCGCTTGCTAAAGCACATAAACTGGCTGCAGTGGCCAGCTCAAAGAACCTGCCACAGCGAACGTGGAAATGGGTTGACACTAAGGCCTCAACAAGTCCGCCCGAAAGACCCAGAGAAGGCCAGATCTGACAATAGAATAGTTGAATAGCATAAGATGTGCCTTTGCGTAGTTGGCTTGTCTTGTGTTGTTCAGCCGTCATTTTTTTCTTTCACCTGCTGTTCAGTTGCGACGCAATGCGATGACATTGATCTCTGAGCTGCTGGAGGTGACCTGCATCATAAAGTGGTAGAATCGCCCTTTGACTGCTGCTTGCCATTTTCGAGGAGATGGGTGCACCTCCGTTGATGGAGCATCCATTCTTTCGCAGTGTGGGTCTCAGACACAATACCTGTGAGGAGTTAGTCAGGCATCGAAGACACTTGTGGGGCATTGTTTGTCCACCGGCGGCTGCGACAGACTCGTTCCCATGTTCTGTTGATAAATGTATCTGTATTTGTTTAATTGCATAATATGCTGTATAGGCATTCTCAGTTATGGCTGTGTATACAAGTCAAGTTCAATCAAAAACAGAGCACCGACATTACTGCAAGTCAACATGTACGCTAGAATAGAAAGGTTCAACTCAGAATTAAACCACGGAGTCTCTCAGAGAGTGAAAACATGGAGCTGTACCTGCTTGACGGAAGAATAGATCAGCATTTTCACGCTTAAATTCTGAATGTACTGGGTTTCTGGATGTTTCTGGGTTATTGCAAGTTGTGTGTGCTTGTAAGAAGCCATGCAGAAGATTGTCCAAGTGGAACTTTTGTTGGCAAGCTCGTTACACACTGTTTTAAGTCAAGATGCTGCTTGGAAAACACCGCCCATGAACAGTGAGAGTAGCCAGCCAGCGGATCATTCAGTGTGGTACAGAGAGGTCTGCATCAGAAAATGGTGCAGAAGTTAGAGGTCGCTGCTTCAGAGACACGATGGCACTCCACAAGCATTGCTTGGTTGAGTGAGAAGCTACAATGGGGGTGACCGTGCACGAGCCCGGCGTGACGTGACGAGCCCTGCGAGACACTTGTAAAGGCTTTGCAATGTCTCTGCAGGGCTCCTGATGACTTGTCACATGGGGCTCATCACGCCTTGTGGAATGCCATGGTGTTTTTATGTTTATGTTTATGTCTTTTTTTTGGCGTTTGCTTCAAGGACGGGGACGTTCTCTAATTCAGAGCCCCCCATGGTCTGGTGTTTTGATGTCGGTCCAATCCGATCCTAAAATGATGCTCAATAGTTTGGTGTCCCATGGTCCTTCTGCTGCTGAACCTCTTGCTGGAAAGATGTAATTACTCAGTACTTCAATCAGTGTCCCACAGTCGCAGTGTTCCGCAGCATCATAGAGCCGTGTGTACAGCCCAGTTGTGGCTTCTCGCTGTGGTGTCGTAAGCTTTTCTGTTGGTGTGTCGAATATGGTGCTGGTGATGCCTCTCCTGGTGGGGCAGGCCTATCATTTACATACAGGCAAAAGACAATAATGTCACTTTTTTTGAGGTATATATTGCTACCCTGCCTTGGGGGAACGCTCTGCGGAAAGTCTTTTTTTCTCCCAAACACAAGCTAACTCTGTTGGTCTTTTAGGTTGTATGCTGGGGCTCTCATCAAAAGGTGGTTTAACGCGGTACTGGCAACCCATAAGGGGTTGATGTCAGGTCTGTGTAGTCTTAGTCTTAGTCAGCACCACATTCAAAACACTAGCTGAATGCAAGAAGCACCAACACACCACAGCCTTTGCATTGCCAAAAAAGTGGGGCGAGGTTGGGCGCACAGGCCTGCTGCTTGCGTGCTGCTGCATGCTGCTTGTGTGCTGCTGCTACTTCTTGGCTGCTTCCACACTGTAATTGGAATTGTTGGATACAAAACCAAAACTTTCTTTCAAGCAGTAGAACATCTGTAAAAGCCTTGTAAACAAGAACCTGATGTGACCCGATCGCATCAATCAAACCCACACTTTTTTAGAACTAGCATTCCATTGGTGACTTTGTCAGGTTCCTGTAATTCCCCGTCAATCATCTTGCCATTTGAGAACTTGGAAAGGGTGTGAAAGAGCAGGGCGAGGCATCGTGCACCGTATTGAGATGGTGCCTGTGTCAACAGGAGAAAATGCAGCTCGGGGTTTTGATCAGTGACCCGATCTGCTGCTCACCCGTGTCAACAGACTTTCCTGCACTGGTGGCCATGAAGTACTCTCTCATTTGTGATACTGCCCATGATTATATAAATGGATAAGGTCGAGACATAAACTGCTTTGATGAAGAATCTTCCTGTCTAAAACGCTAAACCAGCGAGACTGTGTGTGGATGCAGAAACATCGTCGATTCTCCTCCACTGCACTTTTCCTTCATTGCAATTGTTGGAGCTGTGGTGATGCGTTCGTGGGGGTTCAACAAAAAGTTTCCTGGTGAGTGAGGGAACGTCGAAGTAGATGAGCTGGTTCCGTCAAAACCTCGAGCTGTAAAGGAAAAACTACTTACACTGGGGGAAAGTTGTTGGCGCAACTCCAAAAAATATATAGCGGGAACAGCCGCGCCATGTATCTCCTTTTTTTCTCGCTATTTGGCAGTCATAGATGGCGCAACTACTATTTGGATTGCAGAAAATTTAAATTCTGCGGGAGGTCTGTGCGGATACTAGTTTTAATTTCCTTTCGATTCCTTTTAATTTCATGTTGATTTCCTTTTGATTCTTTTTTATTTCCTTTTGAATCCTATTGATTTCCTTTTGAACCCTTTTAGTTTCCTTTTGATTTCCTTCTAATTTCCTTTCGATGTCCTTTTGATTTCCTTTTGCCGTCCTTTTGATTTCCTTTTGATTTCCTCTTGATGTCCTTTTGATTTCCTTTTGATTGATTTTAACGATTCCTTTTAGTTTCCTTTTGATGTCCTTCTGATTCCTTTCGATTTCCTTTTGAATCCTATTAATTTTTTTTTGATTCCTTTTGATTTCCTTTTGAATTCCTTTTGATTTCCTCTTACGGAGGCCCATTGCAGGCCCATAAGATGGAGCGGTCCCTATCTCCGGTATTTTCTGCAATTTTAGGCGCAGAATTCAGAATCATGGAACACCGTCCCATTTTTTAGCCACGGGGCGCATAGATGGCGCAACACACCTGATGCCCTGATACCTAAACCTGGCGCAATTAAAAAAGTCACGTTCCACCACTTGAATCGAATTCTTCGGGCGTGGATGGCTAAGGACTGAAAAGAAGCTCCTGTTCGATTGTGATGATAGAAGAGGGCATCACACAATATCACGATACATACCACCAGGTTTGACTACGGGACGGAACCTTTTTTTGCACACGACTTGCTGGCTTCTCCACGTTTTGAAGAATGGCTTAAGAAAGGATGAAGGCTTTGGGATGTCAGCAATACATGTAATGGTTTTCGGTACAGTATCACTTGCATCATCAAAATGGGCTTTGAAGACTATATTATGGACATACGTCGCGCACTTGTGAAAGCGATGCTCCAGAACAGGGTGCGTTCTGCTGGGTATCGAGACAGCATTCCCATGCCTGTATGTTGACTGCGTGTTCAGTGCACCGTCCGCACTGCTTTCAGTACTTGACACGATCCATCTTGTGAGCATGGAATGGGTAGCATGGGAGCTGTTCCCGCACACAGAGCTGCATCTGCTAAACACAACGGACTACGTCACCATGTGGCGCTCCAATGTGATCTAAGGGGTCGAAGTAAACTTCAAGCGATCGAGTGGTTGTTCGTGGCCCGGTCTAAATCAGACTCAAATAGGTGGCTTGCGCCAAAGTTATTTGCAAAGACCTGACAAATGATTGAATTCCAAGCTGGCCGCCTTCGGGCATGCCTTTAGGTGACCATAGCGGTCAGAGCAGCCAGCCACTTTGGCACGCACGTGGCCGCAGCGGCCGAAGTCACTCAAGGTTCACTGGAGCCTGTCGAGACCTTAACCCCCTTCCTCCCCCTACCCTCCCCCTCTTCTCTCTTTGCTTTTTGGGATATTCCTGAATGTAACACTCAGGTACACTCTCCTTCGTGTGTCCCTGGACGCTTGCTCGTAGCTGGGAACAGCTGTCTACTTCCTTTTCTTTCCTCCTCTTTCTCTTTTCCCTCTTTCTCTCTTTCTCTCTCTCTCTCTCTTTCTCTCTTTTTCTCTTTCCTTTCTTCCCCTTCCTTCTTGCTTGGGTGTCCCTGGATGCTTTCGTCATAGCCTTCTTCTCTTGTGTGTCCTTGGACGCTTGTGTCGTAGCTGGGAACACCTTCCGTTCATGTCCTTTCTTCTTTTCTTTCTTCTCTTCTCTCCCTACCCCTCCCTCCACCGCGCGCGACCCGTTCACATACAAAAAACGTTGCAACCGGTTTTCAAATCGGTTCTCGTTCTCGTCTCCTCCATTTGTTTCCCTTTTCACCCTTCCCCTTCACACACATTTGTTCTCCTCTTTTCTTTCGTGTCCTCCTGTCTTCATGTCTTGGCATTTCATTCCTTCTCTCTTTTGTGCACACATCGGCCCCGGCCTTAGTGTTTACATGCGCGCATACTTGTACTTTTAAACCCAGGTTTCAGGTCGCTCAGGTTTGACAATGAGGTGGGGTTCATCGGTTGTCCCTGCGCACTTGGTTCCCTTTCATCGCAACCACACACACACACACTTTTGTCCTGTCTTGTCCTCTCTTCATGTCTTAATCTTTTTGTTTTTGCTGCGCGCGCGTGCACATTCGTCCTAACCTTAGTTTTTCTCGCCTCCCCTTGGGGAGGCGTGTGTGTGCGTGTGTGACCCTTGGAGTCACAGGGATACTGATGGTTTCGTTTTGTTTTTTTCAGCAGGGGGCCGCCGGAATCACAGAGCAGCGGTGGCCAACGAAGACCGCCTCTGGAACCCGGGTAAACGTACCTGCATTTTTTTGAATCTGACTGTTACAGCGGTTCACTTGTGCATGTCTTGCAGTTACATGTCTCTACTGGAGTCACACCTACGCTGAGCAGCCGTTGTCTTGTCTACTTGATTCTACTTGCTACCACCCTACTAGTGATGACCTCCAACCCTTTGTGAGGGCCTCTCACCTTGTTTTGACGGCATCCAACCTAAATGCGATGCCTCCACCCTACTCTTGGTTGGCCTTCTACCTGGATGCGACGACCTACTTGGCCTTCTACCTGGGTACGACGACCTATTTGCGCTGACTTTAGTGCGATGGCCTCCAACCTAATACATGATCTGTCTTCTCAGGCACCTGGTCACTTCGGTTGCCGTGTGGCGAGCGGCGTTCGAGTCAGTACGCAATTCTATAAGTGTGTAACCCTGGAGTCACAGGGATCCGTTGGATTGTTTCTTTGAATTAAGATTTTCAACGTGCAGGGGGCAGTAGCCCACTCATGAGTCTAGTGCCAACGAAGCTGCTCATGAGTTGGGAGGATATCGGAGCTGATCAC